ACTGGTACTTGGTGTGGTACTAGGTTTATCGCATTTATGGCTTAGGGGCCGCGGTTTACCTCCCTCCGTTTAGTCATGCTGGATCAGGAGTAGTAAACTCGGCGATCGTGGGTTCGATTCCCACACGGTGCAAGTTTTTTTTTATTTATTTTTATTTTTTTGAAGGTCGTGGGTTCGATTCCCACACGAGCCAGTTTTTTTTTAAAGGCAGTTTAGTTGATGGTGGATAATGAATAGCAAACCGACAGGATTGTTCATTTAATTCATATTGAAATTAGTGTTTTTTTTTTATGGTGAATTTGTTTTTCATCCAATGGGAATTCATATATTTTATATTAGAAAAATCTATGAATATTCAGCTTTCCGTTTACTGGATCCGCCACTGATTATAGCTCTGGAGTTGGAACATGACCGAAGTCCGTTTTGGTATACCAAATATACCTCTGTTTCGGGCGGATCAATACCAGAGGTCGAGCGGAAACAAAATTAAACTCGGGATGATGGATCTATAATAGGGCCTATTCTTATAAAAAGGTCCATGATTCAACCATTTATTTCTATTGCGAAAGCTATTTAGCTTATATTTATATAATACAAATCAACTGTAATATGCAATTATACAAGTATTAATGACATGACAATAATAGAGTTTGGCCAAAGGAATTAACTTGTTCATGTTAAAGTTCATTGTGTATAGGGCCTAATCCTGTCGAAGTTGGGCTTCAGTGTGACCCTTTTATTTATTTTTTTTTCATATCTTATAACTTCGAAAACGAGCCTCGTTTTGCAAAATATCAATTTATTTCGTTTCTAAATTTTTCGTTAACTAAATTCGTCAGGCCTACTACTGGTAATAGCCTATTTTCTTCTCCTTCAATGTTCCGTCTTGCAACATTATCGATTTTCAAAATATTCCATATTTTTCTGTTAGTAAAGTGTTAATATAAAGGGCAGAATGGTTTGTTAAGGCCATAGTGTTATGTCCTGTTTAGATAGATCTTTAGCTGAGCGTCCTAATAGTTTATTTGGTTTTTTTTTCATTTAATTGCAATTTCAATACGCATATGCGTAATGAATGTTTGGTTGGCTACCATTCCGACCTTTTGTTAATAGAGGACTATTCAATCGATGAATTACGGGAATTAATTACTCGCTTAAAGATATCACAATTGTATTAACACTAAAACCAAAAAATATATTCCAAAAGATATAAATCATCCGATTATTACTATTGAAAGATGCACTGAGAGAAATAATATTTATGAATCAATTAAATTTACAGACAGACAAGAATTCATTTCATTTCATCCATTTATTTATTCGACCATAAATAATAAAAAGCACAATAACAATAACAACAAAACTTTACTTGGTCCAGACTACAGGGCGCCCTTTTGTTGCTAGGTATAACCAGACGCACACAGCGCCCTCCTTTTTCCATTAATGGAGAAAATGAGAAAACTTTATCACACTACCGTGTACTCGCGCGAATAAGCGCCCGGGCGCTTAAAATATTTGTTGCCCTTTCTGAGGGCGCTTATTTAAACAGGGCGCTTATGAAAACAGTGGAATTGAGGGGCGCTTATGGAAATAGATGAAAATCGAGGGGTTCTTATGGGAAATTATTAAATTCAAGAGGCACTTTTTGAATGAAGAAAGATTATATAAGGACATTACGAATGGTGGTTAGAAAAGATAATCGTACAGAGAACATGGCTCATGACAAGAATGCGTGAATATTCACATAACAACAAAATAGCAGATGCAATTAGTGGTGGTGGGTAGTGGTTAGCTTGTTGGCCATCGGCCGATTGAGATTAGCAGGATGGCAGGATCTTTGTATTTCTTTTTTGAAAACTCAGATGAGAATGTGCTAAAGGTCGGAAAAAGAAAAAGAGGAGTAGGACTAGGCATAGAGAAATATGTAAAAAGAGTAAAGTTGGAAATACACTGTCTGTCCAGGGATCGGAGCTCTCATCTGTCCAAGAGCAATATATTTATTTTGATACATTGACCGAAGAAGAATGTGTTTCCACTCTACAGCTCAAATCATGCCAACAACCACAGTCCCAGGATTGATTGATTTGCTAAAAAAAATTAGCGCTTATTCAAATTAGAAGGGGGCGCTTATTCAAACTGGGCGCTTAAGGGAATTTTCACGATAGTAGGGGTGGTTATTCAAACGGGGCGCTTATTCGCGTGAGTACGGTAACCAGAGTCCGGCGTTTTCAACCTCCGCAAAAGGAGGTTAATGTATTCACATTTATGTAACGGTGGCACGCAGAAGTTTATTAGATCCAGTCAGTGTGACCACTGCTTGGGTATTTACCCAAGATCTTGGGTATTTTGACTTGGGTTCTTGGGTATTCCGTTCAAATCCTTGGGTATTTTATTTTTACTAAGAAAATTAAATATTTTTGTCATAGAGGAAGAATTAAGAAGTAACAAAGTATATTTCAGTTCATCCAAGTAAGCAAAACTCAACGAAGTGCACATAACATTGTTAATTGCTATAAACTTGGGTTCAGAAGTGTTTTTTGTGATTTGCGTTGCCATTGATCTTACCTAATTAATGCATTACATAATAAAACTTGATCACTGATCTACTGATAACACTGGCCGACTGAGGGCGTATTTTTCTATCCGTATTATCACCTCATGAATATTAATTTTAATAATTAACACAAACAATTACAATAAAAAATGGTTCATAAATTGAACTAAAAGGGAAACTATACATGCGAAAAACACGGGGTTTTTTTTATTTTAATGCATTTTCCGGAAGCTTGGGTAATTTTGGGCAATTTTTGCTGAATCTTGGGTAATTTCGACCCAGTCATTGGGTATATCAAAAATTGTGAGTGGTCACGCTGGATCCAGTCGTACGCGGCGCCCAATTGTTTGTATTCCCACCATGCATTTCGGGGAAACCTTTTTTTTTCTGTGGAGAACTCATCTTGTGTTTCTAGTATCGTTGCTGGAAGTCCCCTGCTTCAAAATAAATCCGATAAAATGGCCTATATAGGACTACATTTATTCTATAGTATTTCTTTTAATTATTTTTGTTTGTGTTGTTTAGTATCATTGTTGTTATCATTATCATAACCTCATCATTATAATTAAATTCATCCTTACCATAATTATAATTATCATTATCACCAATGGAAACTAATCCATATGTTCTGGATTTTGGGTGGTCCTGAATCCAGTCATTTCTGTATTCCTCTGTTTTTTGTATTGTATTTGGATTCGAAATAAAAACAAACAAACAAACAAACAAACAATATTTTATTAATAAAAGGATTAAAAATAGTTTAATATCAACACGAGTTATTATTGGTCGAGAGTTTTAAGTTGTTCAACCAATCAGATTGCATGTCCTGACACTACACACACACACGTTTGTTGATGGTAAACCTTGACCTACCGTAACAATCAATAGATGTTCAACAGCACGTCGCGTGTGTGTGTAGCATAGTGCTTTGCTTAGAGTTTACCTGGGAGGTTTATGACAGTAGAGAGCTACTGTTTGTTACCTTTAGAGTGCTGAAAAGGGGTTGAATTTTAACAGTTTATCATCAACATTTATGGTGAATGTTAAAGAAGTATTTGCACTCTTTGTTTCTTGCATAACGTTTCCAGTAAGCAGTCCAACAAGCTTGCGCTGATAGATGATGGAGGTAGGCTCGCCAATGCATTTCCGCTATTTAATGTTTTGCAATTGCACTCACTCACTGCCCTTGTCAATTTTTGGCATGGATGCTTGTTTTTGCAAGGCTTGTTGAGTTCTGTGATCATTACGGATTAGTGAAAACAACAATATTGATGTAGTTGCTATCATTTAACAATGAAATTCGTCCTTAATTCACTACGACGATCAATAGTAGAAAATTTATTATTTATGAACTAGGCTAGGCGTAGGCTAGGGCCTAGATTCCTTAATTGGAACATTCAAATGCCCTTGGTGCTGGCTGTTCAGTAGCTCCCCCTCAAACTGGCATGAGCCTGTTGCCAATATTTGTTTCAAATATCATTATCATTAATATTGCTCAATATCATCATGACTTCAACATCATTTTTCTGATTTTTAACATTCGTTTACCTATCAACACACCATGTTAATAATAATATTGTATTGTATGTATTTCTTCAACCTGTACTTTTTTGTGTCACTTTTAAAATTTCACCGGTGGCGGTGGGTTGGTTTGGATTTTCTTCAGTGTGAAACTTGCACCAAGGATAACCCACAAAGTCTGCAGACTTATTTTCAATGGGAATTGTTCTGGTGGTGGTGTCAGCCATAAACCCTTAATCCAGACTCTGGAGGGAAATGGGCCACAAAACTAAAAATGCATGTTTTGTGGTACACTTTTCAGCTGCAACGCAATACCGTGTTAGTCATGACCCATCAGTGACCCAAATTGACCTCTTCATTGATTTGATTGCTCGTCCATGGGAAATTCGGGGCAAAGAAAAAAATTAATAGGATGACATGAATGAAGATCATACCATACTTTTTTCATACTTTCGTAGTGTGTTGTTTACTTCTTCCGCAGCATGCGCTGTAGCTCGCAAGGAGTAAGGTCAGCCTTCAAATTTCCGTTGGTGACCGTTGGTGTTATTTTGTTATGAATGTTTTATCTGCATTCATGAACAACCTCTTGACGGTTAATACTACAGTATGTTTACTGTACTTTGTACTGATTGTGATCAAATCTTCAATCGAAATTCCTTACCCGATATATAGTAGCACAGTAAATTGTTATCATAATTTCATTATATGGGGTTTGTGTATGTTTAATGCTATCTCAGAATATGATTCTGATAAAATATGTTTGCTAAGAACAGATACAGAGATGTGGTTATTACTATTGAAATAATGAAAACTTGCCATAGGCCTACATACAATTATAATTAATAATACAACATTGCAAGAATAGTGTATTTGAGTACAGTAATACATATTTATAATACCTTCATTTAATTATCTTGAGTTTGTATGTAATGAATGCTGTAAACTTCAAATACCTGATCAATATGGTATATATTGTACTCCATCTTATACAATGTAGGAGTGTGGGTGATGAAATAAATTGGTTAACCTGCTGTTTACATGTAGATAAAGCATACATTAGGCCTACATTAAAATGCCTTATTAGGTATTTAAACATTTTCAGTAAATATTATTATTCATTTAATTTAAAAATCTGTATAGTACAGTATCTGGACAGGATAAATTTATCAACATTAAAACAGAGGTACTGACAAAATTTGTTAATAAAATAAACTAATTTAAAATGAATGATTATAGTATGTGACTAGATTTTTTAATGGGAGAATACGACTTGAATTAATACGACTTTTGTTAATTTATATTAGTCTAACAATTTAGTTTTCAAAAGCCATTAATTATGCTATTAAAAATAAGTAATATTTTTTCTAATTTTTTTTCTAGAGGCCTAAATTATAATCTGTACTTGAGTATTAAAATTAGAGACTATAGAACAAATCCAAGAATCTGGTAGATTCCGACATTTATTCTGGTGTTGGGCACCTGCTGCCAGTCTAATAGACATGGGCCATACTTGCCCATCGGGCTAAAGAAACGACTCATGAATCACATCATATTAGCGGTATTACCTCTATCCCCTTGGCACCCTGCTGCGTTGTCTAGACCAACCCAGTAATTGAGAATCTCTTAATGTATTAAGTAAAGTACTACTGTTCACATATATGTACATGATTTGTTGATGATGACATTTAATTATCAGCTGCTCATTAAAAGTCTTCTCATTAGGGAGGAGTTGAAACGTAATAGTTTTGTTCTTGGCGTGTGGCCGTATCATACAAAAAAAGTTTTATTTTCCTGAATGAGTCATTTGCTTTGACTGCAAGCAACTGATAACCAGTAGTGATATGGAGATTGGTGGTTGAGATGCTTGCATCTTATTACTTTGTCCGGGGTTCGAATCCTAAAATGATTTGATTATTTCTCATTCAATAAGTCATAAAAAAGCAATTTACTACACTTTAATTGGTTAGTCTCTTGGCTAAGAATGATGTAGGTAGGTCAAGTTTATTTTATTATCCTCTCTTGTTAATTAGGGTCTATTTTATCGTCTTGAATTGCTTTAAAATCACCAGGAGAAAAGTTTTGTTATAGTGAATAATATTTTAAGAGTAAAATTTAAATACATATGAAATAACATTTTAAATGTTAGATGGATAGATGGATGGATGGATGGCTAAAGTAGGTTAGAAGATGGATGGATATTTTAGACAAATAAATATACTGAATGTTATGCGTACCTGTTACTGTAGGTTGTTAAGGCACTTAGTATCTGAGTTGTCCATGAATTAACTTATGTTCACTCCATTTTTATCTGAACTGAATATACAGTATACCTGTACTCCAAAACCTAATTAATGTGGGATGACACTGTTTTGTGGTATTTAAGTTGCTTGCCTTCTAATCTTGATTTCCTCGAATTAAATTTTGTTGCACTAAGTTTTTATCTCACAACAAAACTTAAATTGAGACTTTTTGAGAAAGTCTGAAGTCTCCATATGGGCCTTATAAATGAGAGTAGCATCATGTGTATAGTGATTGTCACTTTTAAGACAGGGTTATAATTATTTGCTATATCTAGCTTTTGCCTCCCATGCATAAATAAATGTTAAAAATATTTTGTTAATACCTGTATCCATAATTGTCAGTACTATTTTAGCCTTGTATTCAGCCAGATGATAATATAATCCTCCTTTTTGAGTGCGTGCTATTCTCAGATTAATTTAATTTGTGTATGCTTTCTTTTTTTGAATATTAAATTATTAACAAGAGCATGCAACCTTTTAAATAATCAATATTTATGTATTATTCAGCAAGTTTATATACATTCTCAACTGTTATGAAGCATAACCTCAAAGGTACATGGTTTTCTTAGTTGCGTTCTTTTCAAGGAAAAGGTTAAAATTGAGACAGTGAACTGACAGCTTCCATATATTGAAGAATAAAAATAGATGCATCATTATTCTGAAAGACATGTAGATGACATCAACTACTGTAGTTGTACATACGTCAGTACCCAATGGTCATTAAAAATAGATGTTCTTTATATTGTCTGTAAAAATATTAGATAATATATAACTTGTCTATAAAGATATTGAATGATGTTCATAACTTGTTTATAAAAAATATCTTTCATTTCAATAGAATACACTGATGTGGACAAGGGCTTTGTAAGTTGCACATTTCAGTTGAAAACGTGAAGAAGACTGTCGAGAAACTGTCAGCATGGGGTCGGAGAAGAAACCGCAACCAATTGTAGGTGACATAGTCATCAACCCTGAGTCTGGGGAACAGTACAAAAGAGGTCGTCTTCTTGGGAAGGTATGACGATACTGATTGATCGATTATTAAATATTTCATAATACCAATTATTTGATATTTTAAAACTGTATCACTATTCTAACAAATCAATGTGTAAATTGTTTAAATATATTCCTGATGAAAATTGTTGTTGAATTAACCAAGAAGGCCTATCAGACACTGCCTGCATCTATGAAATATTAACTACTACAATTCATGCAAACAGTATTAATGTTTGTTTGTCTGTTGAGCATACACTTATATCTCAGACTAAACAGTGTTTGATCAAATGCAAACTGAAGAATTAAATAGAACATTGTCTTCCAAAGAACATGAGGTTGTAGGTCAGGGGTATGAACCGGAAGTGTTTCTTTAAAAACTGGTATATTGCCAAGACAGATGGGAAACGCCGATTGGTTCGAGCCGAGAGATAGTATAAGCCTGTTTAATACATAGAGGTCTTGTTGGCATGATTTGCTATAAAAAAGCTGCTTTATCATCATCGTCATAATTATCGTCATCATTGTGAATCGTCATTGTCATCATGAATCATCGATGTCATCATAAGTCATCATCATTATAAATCATCATTGTCATTATGAATCGTCCTCATAAATCATCTCATGAATCGTAATCATCATCCCCATCATCATCATTGTTATCATCATCAAGACATCATTAAGACATCATTATCATTGTTATCATGATTCATCATCGACGTCATCATAAATCATCACTGTCATCATGAATCGTCTCATGGATCGTAATCATTGTCGTCATCATTGTTATTATCATTATCAAGAAATATCATTATCATCATATTCATAAATCATTGTCATCTTCATCAATTAGGCAAGACTTTTTTATACCTTGTTTAGTGAACCCGCCACTTGCTAACAATGTTGATTCGGATAAGAATTACATTTTATTTTGCTGCTGCTGCCTTGAAATCACCAAAACTAAGACATGTATACAGTATTTCTCCTAATTATATAAATTAAAAGAATTTAACCATCCCATTGCTACACTCTTTACATTAACCAATAATATTTTATTTTCTCCTCCGTCTGAATTTTTTTGTCAAAACTATTTGCTAATTAAGAAAACAAAATTTTGTTTTTCCGCCCTTCTCTTACAAAAATAAAAAATAGGTTTGCAAAACATGGTGTACAAAAAGCCTCGCCTTATATGGGTTTGAAACGAGTAAACAAAGTCTGATCAAACGTTTCTGTAAAATACAAATACATTGGCAATACTAGAATTCTATGCAAGACATAAGATAAAAAATTTGATAAATAATTATGATTACTCTTCAGTAATACGATCAATAGAGTTTCTAATATACTTTTCATCAATACAGTGTGATACCACTTTAACCTTCTGGTTTAGTGTGTTAGCCTTTCTTGGTGTCTGATGACCTCCTTATGTGCATAATATGTCTATGTATACCGGAGTCGCTTTATTTCTGATATTCATATTTGCTATGCAATGCTATATTCATTGCTATACAAATGCTATGAGATTGATAAGTAAATATAAAATAATAAAGATTCTATGCTAAAATGTTGAATACATTAATTCAGCTAGTCTTAATATTTATTTTGTATTTAATTTAATATATTTTTTTCTTTTATTTTTTATTCACTAAAACATGTTTATTTAGGATCTCAGACATGAATGGTATTTCATATTCATAATACGTATTCCTTAAAGTATTAAATATACTGTGCTCAAATAACAAAGCTTAGTTTCTTCTATTTTAAGGTATTTAACCACGATTTAATTGCAATTATTAACCTTTATGTTCACACTAAAAACCAGCATTTTTACCTACAATTGCATTTGGTTCTCCTTAATTAATCAGACGTGCAGATCTTAATCTCAAATATTAGAATATCCTCTCATTAACGAGATCTAGTAAGATCGTTAATTGCTATATTAATGAATGATTCAGCTATAAGGTATCCTGCCTGAGCAGTAATTGTATCAGTTGTACAGTATATGACATCATCATCAACCTCAGGTTCAGAAGATGCTAATAGAAGATGAATTGAACAAGTTCCATTTTAACTAATAAAGTTTAAATCCACTTCCTCAAAACCTATTACTGTATAATATACTTTTTGGGGCTTGCAAACTAATCCATATATACTGTAGTGAATACAATTCTTGCCACTTTCACTACAGCATCATTGTATAGAACATGTGTGGGCATAAAAATGGGTCAGCGGACTAAATTGAATCAAATTGAATTTTTGATTTACACTGAGGGCCACACCCAAACTGACATTTCAAGAAAAACCTTAATATTTATTTATACATAGTATTGGTGTCAGGCCATAACAAGCAGTTTTCTACTGTAGCCAATAATGTAGACGTGCCAAACACATACAGTAGGTCCTCTTTTTTTCCCCCTGTAATCTGTACTAACCTATTTTTTGCAAATGAAGACTGACTAAAAATGTAACATCCTATTGGAATGATAAGTTAATTAGGCTTTAAGTATCTTGCCCCAAGGACACAAGAAAAAAACCAGGGAAAATGTGTTCAAAAGCTTAATCCCTCACTACCTTTACTGCATGAACATCCTCTTTATTTGTCAAGGATCATGCATCATGTATACAATAGATTATGTAGGCCTACTTAGAATGTAGACATACACAAGTGTCTGACAGGAGTGGGAGATAGAGCTGCTTCAAGGTTGGTAAGCTTTTTCAGAAGATATCCACTGATTGAAAATGAACATTAAAGTGAATTATACCGTATACTTTGTTCTCACGTATGTCAATCCGCTTATAAGACGACCCCTAAGTTTGAGAAGAGTTTTGGAAGATTTGTGTACGTTAGACAAATTATACAACCCCTACAGTATTTCACCATTGGAATTCTTCCTTCGCCATATAATCCAATTTCTACTGTAGGTAAAGTTGATGGATTTCATTGAAGCTTTAATTAAAACTTAATTGACAGATTAAACAACAACCATCTTGTATGGCATTCATACATAGTGACCATACTAGCAGTTGGTAGCTTCATTTCAGTAGTAAATTTGTGTGTTACAGACAATCCACGCATTAGACGAACATTATTTTACAATTCAAATAAATTGTATGTTGCGTGTATAAGACAACCCCCTATCTTTCTATCGTAATTTGCTATTTTAAGCCTCATATTATTTGAGAATATATGGTACATGCTACCACCGATGAAAAAAATCCTTGTTTGTGCCCTGAATAATACAGTCATAAAGAGACATTATAAATCCACTATTTGTCATGAGTATCTACTATACATCGATCAGTCTAGATTTGTTTTTTTATGACGTGATCCGTGCCACAATATCTAAAAACTGATGGTTGCTTTGCACTCTAAGTCTATACTGACATGCAATTTTGTCGTCCTTGAATCATAACATAAATGTATAGTGATAAAGAGACTTTGAGTACTGCTTTAGCTAGCAGCATTCAAACACAAGAATCACTGCTTGAAATTGATCCATTAGCATCGACTGATTATTGTGCATTGATTTGTTATGTTGCTGCCATGAAAAACTTAAGAGCAAAAATGATGTTGTTTACATTATATGCTAAACATTTAAAAATTATAGGCCTACCATAGGTGATTTGATACAGGGAATGTATTGTACTTAGATCATACTGTTCCAGAGCATGGAAGATTAACATACTCACATTTGCGACAATTGAAACAGGTCGGTGATCCCGCACCAAATCAGAAGAGCGGTTATGTAGGTGTGGAAAAGTACAAACGGAGCTGCATGTTTTGTGTGAATGCGCTTTGACCGCCCATATATGCCAGAACATGGGTATAAGGTGTAATGATATTTTTTCTTTATTAAATTAAATTTATTTTTGAAATCTTAAAAGCCGGTGAAAATTAGTCAAAATAAGTTTATTGCGTTATAAAGGAAACAGTATATTATTTATTGTAAGTTTTACTATGCTTGATTTGTAATGCCATGTTGGACGACTGTTATCCCCAGTTTGTCAATAAAATATCTACTGTATCTATCTACTACCATTGGATGAACCGATCTTGGTGATAAGGTGGTAGCATTTTTATGTTTTTTGGTTCAATCCATTTGATTTGACGGAAGACTGAATAACTCTCTCTCTCCACTGAACGTAAATATGAAACTTAACTGTCTTCAAAAATTAATTAGATGATTTCAAGCCAACTAGTCATTGTTATTCTAGGCCTACTGTAGTAATAGTTTCCATTTTGAGTTTTATTGCTCTATCTTTGCAAAGAGAAATTTAAGCCATAATCTCTCAATAACTACAATTTGCCTTCCAATTCAAGACCACTTTGGGCCACAACAATTTTTAGGGTGATGTCTCAATCTCTACTTCGAAGGTTAGTTTCGTGTTAATAGATTGATTTGGGTCTGTGAAAGAGTGGTCATGAATTAGAAGGGGCTTGGATTGGATGGTGCAATATTTTCAAAGCAATACTAAATTTGTAGTTTCCAGTCTAAATGGGCTTTATAAAAAATACATAACTCTAGAGACTTCTGAATCCAAGGGAGGACAGTATAGTTATTGTAATCTAAGTAAATGTGCATACACTATTTTAACATTTTACTTCCATGTGGTATGACCAAACTTCTTCTCCCATTTGCCATCGATGACATCCAACGATGGACCGAGGGATGGGTGCTTGCCAATAGCTTGAGAGAATGCATGGACAAGACTCGGATGATTACAAGTTAATGATGTTTCATTCCAAACTGCAAAATTGATGAATGCGGGATGAAATGTTAATTGTAGCGTAAACAAACAGGATGAACAGACTATTATTCCAAACGTTTGCAGAAATTGATTGATCTTTTTACACTGTGAATCTAGAAACAAAACAATTTTGTACATTGGATGAAAAAAAAGCGCAAGTGTATTATTACAAGCCTGGGTTCAAATTTTGCGGTTATTTTTCTTTTATATCTGACCTTTGTATAACCTTGATTATGTACTTATTTATTGTGTGTTACACCAAGCCATCCGCTG